GCACATATGCTCCAACAACTATGGCAGTTGGATCCTTCATCTTCGCTGCACTGTACATGTCAGCTGCTTATATTTGTGAGGCGGTCAGCACCCTCCAACAATAAGCATTGTTCCACATTTTGAATTTCGTGTACATTGCCACATTGTTGTGTGCGGTCTCATGTCCGGAATTTTTTGCGAATGAACACCATCGAATGTATGGTCGTATGTGGCAGTCTCTCCGCCTTCGGTGAGATACCCGCACACGACTCATTTTAGGTTGCAAAGGTGAGCCTGGTAAGGGTCCCATGCTGCCTTGCAGGCACTTCGTGCGGTGTGTGTCGCTTTTTTTGCATGCATGGCCTGCCAACAACATCAGCAAAAGCACCCACAAACACCCACACCCACGGAGTGCACGGCTTATAAGCCATTGCAAAAGGACATGGACAATGCAACTTATGTTTGAATGTATGAATGCACACCCCACAGGTTTTGTGTACCGCCCCCTTTCCTTCTTTTGACACGGACGTTGCACATTCCAAAATGGTTTTTGTCGACTACTCGTACTACTAGCAAAAGGTTAGCCATTTTTTGGTGCAATTTTCTGGGACAGTGCATATTGTCTGTGCCTTGGACACCTCCGTCTTCTGTCCTGTAACAAGCTATCAAAGTACTCCTGCTGGTAAAAGTACTAGGTAAAAGAGCATCCTGTGGTGTCTGCATGACTTACCTATCCTGACTGCGATCACATCTGCTTTTGCGCTCATAGTGTTGACCCACAAGGCCCCAAGGTGTGGTCATCCATATAGCTATGGGTCCTGCTGGTGAAAGAGTGGCCATCATGGCCAAGAAGAAGAAACCGCCCACATTTTCCCCACAACACACAGTGAGTCCTCTTTTTGGGGCCACAACCACTCTGCAGCTGTTTTTGGGGTTCACGAAAGTATTAAAGTATTAAATATGGCCATACCAGGGGGTATTTGGAAAGTTATGGCCAAAATAAGGCATAGAAGGCAATTTTCTCAAAAATGAGCAAAGAAGTGGGGGAAAAAAGACAAAACTATATATGTCTTTGAAAACTGCATCAGTTGGTGATTTCAAAAGTACCTGCTTGAGGGGTACCAAAAAAGTTATGGGCCAAAAATGGAGACCCTGGCTTAACTAGGCATTCATTTACCCCTTCTGGAAGGGTATGCCCGGAAGCAGAAGCCCTTGATAGGGGGGTCAATCGATCACATTTTTCACGTAGAATCTGTTTATGCTATTAAAGATGGCCATAGCAGGGGGTATTTGGAAAGTTATGGCCAAAATAAGGCTTAAAAGGCATTTTTCACTAAAATGAGGATTGGTGTGGGGGTAAAAAAGACATAACTATTTATATCTTTGAAAACAACATCAGTTGGTGATTTCAAAAGTACCTGTTTGAGGGGTACCAAAAATGTTATGGGCCAAAAATTGAGACCCTGGCTTAAGTAGGCATTCATTGTTTCTACATTTTGAGTTCCGAATGACTTCTTTTTAGATATATGATATAAAAATGTTTATTAGAGACATGTTTCATGTTTAAACCATGGTTAGCTTGCTGTTCACCTGCTTATCACCTTGCCAGCTAACCCATTTTCAAGATTACCCATCATCTTGCCAGCCTGCCAGCCTGCCAGCCTGCCAGCCTGCCAGCCTGCCAGCCTTTCCAGCCTTGCCAGCCTTGCCAGCCTGCCAGCCTGCCAGCCTGTAAGCCTGTAAGCCTGTAAGCCTTGCCATTCTTGCCAGCCTTGCCAGCTTTGCCAGCCTGCCAGACTGCCAGCCTTGACAGCCATTCCAGCCTTTCCAGCCTGCCAGTCTGCCAGCCTTGCCAGCCTTGCACTCTGGGAAAGGTTTTCACCCGTAAATTCATGTTTACCCGTAATCACGTGGTCTTCACATGTAATTACCGGCCAAGAAAATTTGTAAACATGCTTATTTTTAAGTTGCCAAAGCATTCCTTTTATAAGGAAGAACATAGGTGACATTTTCTTGGTTGCCCGTGCTGGAAGTCATCCACAGTTTACATTACCCGTAATCACAAGGTCTTGACCCGTAATCCCCCAAGCCGTAATGCACAGCACCCGTAAAATTTCACGGGCTTAATTGCGACGAAGACGTGTTGTGTGTGTGTGTGTTACATGGTTGGGGGTGCGTGACCCCATACCTGTAAGATTACCCATACGAGCCGAGGGCCCAAGGGTAATACTACAACGCCTAAAAGCCACGGAGGAAAGGAAAACACCGCACATCAGCCCAGACTAGCGTCTAAAGGGGGTAATTGAGTTTCGGTGAGCCCACATACGTTCCAATTTCCTCGCCAGACGTGCGGGTTCCCATTGCATGGCCTCCAACATGCTCTGTTGATGATCGAATCCTTCTTCAGCACGAATATCATTATAGGCTGGGCATTCCAATAACAGGGGTTCACATCCTCAATTCGGCTATTAGTACCACAACAGTGGCAAAACCGCTGCGCCCCCTGGGGACGTGGTACTTGCCCCTTCATGCTCTGTTTGCCTCCAAAGCCCAGCAACAAAAACGAAACTGCATTACCTTACTATATGCTAAACGAGGAATGAAAACCTTAGCATGTGTTGGCCACAGGACGGCTGCGGCTCCCGAAAAGGGCAGCCCCATCCAGTGCTTATACTTCGCCATTGTGATCCATCTTCGTATTTGCTGAGCGCGTCTGCCTGCTGCTGCTGTTCCCGGCTGCGTGGGTACCACACCACTGAAATGTCTGTGTCCGTATCCGTGCAGAGGCGATGGATCTCCGCCACTATGGGCAGGCAAGCGGTGTTGCCTTTCATCCCAACCATGCAGAATTCCGCCGGTTGGCTGTCCGTCTGGTATTGCACTGTCCGGCCATACAACAGGTTCGGTGCCTGCTCTCACAACCAGTGCAAGCTGTACAGCAGCGCCCGCAGTTCTCTTTCTGTGCTGCTAAAGTCATTCCGCTGCAGCCGCTGGGTTTCCTGAGCTTTGAAGGGCACAAGCATGCGGCTGTTGGCGCCCAGTTCTTCTCCAGGTAAGAAGGCTGTGAAGGCCCTGTCTGAGGCGTCCCCGACTAGTTCCGTCATCAGTCGTAGGGCTGGTCCTTTCCGCCAGGTGGCTGTCCCGTTGCGCCTGCCCAGCAGCTCCATAAACAAGCCTGCCTGGTGTAGCACCTCCGCCGGGTCCCAAACCTCTTCATCCCACGCCACGCCCCGGGCTACACGCCACACCATCCACGCATACAGGGGTGCCATGGTGACGGCGGGCGTCATGGCGATGATTTTGCCGGCCACCTGCGCCACCTGCCGCACTGTTAGCCATTTGCCTTCGAGCTGTGTGAGCAGCGTACGGAATCTAGCTAGCTTGTCATCTGGTACTCTGAATGCTTGCGCCTCCGCATCCACCTCCATCCCCAAGAAACAGACTCGCCTTCTTGGGATCAGCTGGCACTTGGACAGGCTGAGGGTGAAGCCTAGGGCTGCCAGCAGCCGTACCACCGCCCCACACTCATACTGTGCCGCGGCCTTCGACCCCGCGGCACCCATCTGGTTGTCTATCAGGAAAGACATGCGGACCCCTAGCTGCCATAAAGGCTGGAAAACCTCGAGCTTCATGCTTGTGTACAAGTGGCAGGCCGGCGCCAGGCCGAACGGCAGGTGTGGCCAAAAAAGCGTCTGCCCCCGCCACCGCATAGCCAGATATGTGTGCTCCCGTTCGTGGAGTGATAGCTGCCAGTACCCACTCTTGTGGTCCGTGGTGTACAGCCAATCTTCCAGTAGGAGGTAGCTAGGTACATCTGCCAGTCGTTCATACTTCACAGGCCGGTACTTCAAGAAACAGTTAATGTACATCGGATTAATACAGAGGCGCAGCTTGCCGTCTTTTTCCACTACCCGCAAGCCATTGATAACCGTGGGGGGGGGCGCGTCTGCTGGCCATTTCCGTATCACCCCTCGGTCAAGGGCCTTTCTCAATTCGGCTGTAACAAACTCACTGTGCTGAGTCGCGCTGCGATGGTTAGGAAACTGCACGGCTCGCGGCCGGTCACCCGCCATGATAAAGTCTAGGTCGCAATCCGGCGCCGCGACCCGCAGCATTTCCTGCACTATAGCTAGCTTGCATCCCAGCTCCGGGGCTAGTTCTTGCCCTGGGTAGTCGCACGGCACCCATTCCAGCTGAATTCCGCCCTGCAGGTATCCCAGCCACCGTTTCTGTTTGTCCGTGAGGGGCCGGCCTTCGTTAGCTGCCTGAAAGAACACTTGCCACACTGCAACATGTAGACGTATCCTTCCTGCTTGGAAGTCTTCAGGATCTGGGAGCAAACAGACGACCTCTTCGAGAAACTCCTGTTCATCCCGCGGATGTACCGGGTCCTGTTGCCCCAGCCGCTGCAACCTCTGCCAGGCTTCCTGTAGCAGCTGGAGTGCCTCCCTGCCCCCAGCGTTGCGGGCACTCGCTTCCCAGGCTGGTGCTAGTCCTACACCGCTGGATTTCCGCCCTGTCGGCTGGTGACTCACCCACTGGTCGTCTTCGCAAGGGTCATCTTCCAACGACAGCAACTCAGTCGGATCCCTTCCGTCGCCATCCTGAGTGTCTGCCGGGTAACCCACATCAGGTTTCCTGTCATCGTCCCTTGCCGTTCCCTGCGTGCTCTCAGTCGACCTGGTTAGCATAGGCCTCTGGGCTTGGGTCTCCTATACACCGAATAATAACCGGTGGGGCGGGAAACAGGATAAGAGGGTCTTGGAGCTTACACTTAGGTGTCCAAAAGGCAGAGCTGCCCTCTTCCATACCAAGCTCCGCACCCTGCTGTCCCCAGCCCCTGAAATGGCAGTCATGAGCCGCCCGTCCAACACCTGGACCGCGGCAGGCTTTTATTCCAGCCGTTCCCACCGACAGAACCGGCCCACCAGCAGCTATGAGACCAGAACAGTCGTGTCGGCAGCTGCACGTGGTGCCTATTCGAGGCACACACAGAGGCCAATGTCGGGCGTGGGGCCACCATGCGCTTCCATGGCTACACCCAAGCAGTCAGCCAGCACTTCGTAAAGCGGAATGCAGGCAAGAGCCTGAAGGTCGGCGCCCGGGCTCTCAAGAAGACCCATCGGCATTTCGTCAGCATGGGCAGTGTCATGCAGGCAATGTACAGGATGCTCCACCTTGGGACTCCACACAAGATCACGCAGAAGCAGTTCAATGAGGCGGCGCTCCAGACTGGGTGCAAGGGCCTGACTGCCTTTGCGGCCCTGCCGTACGTCGACCTCGACCTGTCGTGCCTCTTCACTGTCTCCACCGGCCATGCCCTGCTGTTCGGAGTGGTCAGCGACTTTGTGGACTACACGCTGAAGTCGCTCAAAGACATCAAGCCAGCAGACCCAGATGCCAAGCTGGTCATGTCTCGTGAAGCACGCCAGCGGGTCGTGGCCCGCAGCCAGTTCCTGGTCGTGACTTCGGACTTCAGGCGGCGGTACAAATGCATCATGCAGTACCGGTGAGCACGGCCAGCACTGGGCAGCCGGCCACACACAGGGGTCGCTAATAGCCGAGAAAGCCAATACGACCAGGGGCTTGCCTGAAAAAAACACCTTCGTCTGTCAGAGAGTTTGCTACTCTACCTATGTAATGTACTTCTTCTAGTTACACGGTTGCTCGCCACACTGCCCCCCTCCACCCATGCAGCAAGAGCTACCACATGGAGGACTGGCTGCACTTCGTTGAGATGTTCTCCAGCTACATCTTCAAGGGGGACGTGCTGCCCGAGGCCTTGTGGGCCCTGTGTTGGAGCCTGTGCAGCACGGTCACACACTACTTCTGGCCGCGGCCCCCCGACGAGACCCGTGAGCAGTTCCTGGTGGCAGCCAAGGCGGCTGCATGCAAGCTCAGAGCTTACACGACCAGGCTGGAGGAGTTGGAGGTGCCAGGCTACATGTTCACGGTCAACCTGCATATCTGCGTATGCCGGCTGTATGACCAGGAGTGCCAGCTTGGGTCCACGGCAGGGTTCTCCGACCTGCCGGTGGAACGCATGATGCAGCAAATGAAGACACAAGGCGGAAGGATGGTGTCACAGGCACCCGAGAAGCACTACATGCAGTGGCTGTGCCTGATGTGGGCCTCCGAGTCGCTCACAGAGGCAGACCCTGTGACCGGGGCCAAACACACGACCAACCAGCAGCTTGAGAGGATGTTGGCACGGCGTGCAGTGAACACCGAGGCTGCCTGGTTTGATAAACCAGGAGCCAACGGTTACCTGCTTGGATGAGGCCACATGGTCTACCCGAGTCCAGAACAGGTGGCACAAGTCCGGGCAGCCATGGCGAGCCTAGTGCACTGGTATGCCCTGGCATTCAAGGATGTGGCTTCCTGGACATTGGGTCCCAGTGCGAGCTACGAACTGGACACGGACCGCCTGGATAGGGTTCTCATGCCTACACCACCCGACTGTCCCAAGGCCCGCTCCTTTTTGCGTGCCGAGGCACTCAACGAGGAGCAGTACTTCGGGGCTGAGTATGGGTGCCAGCAGCAGCGGACCTCCTGCTGGGCATGCTACCAGGCAGAAGTCGGCAACAAGACTCGGACGTATGCAGCCTACCTCAAGTACTTCGTCCACCTGCCCGCAGAAGATGGCGCTCAGGATGTCCGCTTCACTGTGGCAGATGTGTACTCGGGACAGGTGTTCAGCAGGGGGCTGGTGGTGGTCAACATGGCGGCCACCCAGACAGCGAGGGCAGGCAGCCAGTGGGAGATGTGGCAGGACCTAGGGCTGCCGCTAAGTGAGCTGAAGGGCAAGTTCTGCACAGCCGCCCCGGAGGGGGACCGAAAGGGGCTGATGTACTTCATGCCATACACACACTTCACCAACCGCTGAGCAACCGCAGCAATGAGGCCGATGGATGCACCCTTGTCTGGTTGATAACGAATGACTACGAAAGTTATCCCATGCACATGTGCAACAGATGGCACGCATGTACATACATATGCAGGCGTATATGCGTAAAGGCACACTGGCAGTCCATATGCCCGTATGGAGTTTCGGTTCAGTACTCAAATGGCTTCACATTCTGCATTGTTGGAAAGAGTGCCGACAGTGTAAGGTGCGAGGCAGACACCGCCACAGCAGTATCGGCGGGACTAGTACGACTGGTTGCTGACTGTCCAGTTCACTTGATGTGTGCTTGCTGGTCACAAAGTGGACGGCACCCACGTTTCAAAGGAGTGGCCCAGATGCGCCATCCCCTATAACAAACACGGTTGTTCCAAAAGGGTTACAATTGTGACCGAATTAACACATGTGTCAGCCATCATTGTCACCCATGCCTTCGCTTCCATGTGTTTCTTCTCCACCCATGCCACCAGCTTCTCTACTGACAGCACATTCCCCTCCAAGCATGCAGTCGTCGAGTGGATACAGTGTATCCTTCTGCAACCATCCTTGAGACTTGTGCCGGTATGAGCCGGCTGCCTTGTAACCCTTTTGGAACACCCAGACCACACAAAGGGTTTAAGACAAAAAGCCTCCCATTGGGTATTCACCCTAATCAGCCCTGGCAGCCGGTACTCTGAATTAATGTGACACACACGTGAACCTGCCCCCTCCATCGTCAATCCCCATCATCACAAGGCCACCTGATTTGCCGCCTTAAGGCAAGCTTGTGTATGGCCCTCTACAAGACGGGGGGCCCGGTGAGGTCAGCCGCCAGTAGCTCCTTGTACCCAGGGCGGGAAAACACCTTGGGGTAGACGGGGCCGAATGTTAGCGAAGCAGCCTCTACCCACAGAAGCCCCTCAATGAGCGTGCCAGTGGGCCACTCGCAGGGATACACATAACAGATTGAACAGCGAAAAGAAACGAAGGTCCACGCGAACCTCGCAGAGATAGTACTGATGGCGAGCTGGCGGTATTCTAGTATGGGCGCCGTACTTGTATACTTGCATGTCATCAGCCAAGTCTTATCATGACCTGCCTCGCTGTCTATGTTCTTGTATTCCATTGTTATACCTGATACAGTTTACACTAGCCACGACTCTAGGATACAGGACGGACCAATAGCTTCCGCACCGTCTTGACCTGAACAAGTGCAACTCTATAGTTCCATAAGCTGGAAAATGGAACAAGACTTTCCCGGAAGTATTGAACTCCGGTGTGCTTTAGGGGATTCCTATGAACATCAGAGCCTAAACATGATACCGCTTAGTTTTGAGCTGGGAGGTAACATGATATCAGCTAGCATGTTCAAGGAGCAGAATGCAATGTATTACTTCAAAGGCTGTTCGGGATCAGCCAGGAGGGCCTGGCCATCGGCGGGCCCACGCCTGGCAAGGCGACCGCCACCAGCAACTTCATGACGCAGTTTCAGAAGAAGGTCTTGGACAAGATCCTGCGACCGTCGACTATCACTGCAGACCACGGTGCTGTGGCAGCCGCAGTGGGAGCTGAGGCAGTGGATACTGCGGCTAACGACGGTGATGGTGCAGCAGCGAGAGCAGCCGCTGGGGACCACGAACAGGCGGTGGGTGGTGGAGAGGCTGCTGCCATGGGCACGCATGCCGTGGATGGTGGCACGGGTGGCGGCCGCACAGCAGGCATCGCAGCAGCAGCAACCGCAGGGGGGGACACCGGCACGGGTCCCAGGCAGGGCAAGGCGGGCGTTGCCCAGGTAGAAAACCTAGCAGTTTGGAACCTGGGGAGCATGTTTAACAAGGTCGGGGGGTGCTGATGGGTTATGTCAACTTTCAATGTCAGGGCAGCTTGTTGGGTCTTACCCTGATATTTTACCTTGAATGTAAGCACTGGGTGTTGCTGCCCCCCCCACCATAGGATGAGGATACCACCAACTATGATGCATTCAAGGAGTGGGTCGGCGAGGTGCCAAGAGCGGCTAAGGGCGCAGCTGGCAAGCGCAGGCGGGGTGGCGGTGATGACGACAACCTGGGTGCGAGGTCGGGGCGCAAGGTTGGAAATAAACGGCAGAAGGGGAACAAGGGCGCAGGCCGGGGCAGGGGTGCAAGCAAGGGGACCACCAGAGGTGCGGGGAAGGGCGGCGCAGGCAAGGGAGGGTGGAGGGGGCGGACAGAGGAGGGTAGCTCGGAGGGTGGGTCGGATGCTGGTGAGGAAGAGGTCCTAGCCGCTGGCGCTGGGGAGGAGTCCAGCTCGGAGGACCCGGGCAAATATAGCGAAGCTAGCAGCAGCAGCAGCAGTGGCAGTGGCAGCAGCGACAGTGGTGGAAGTGAGCAGTAATATGGCAGCAGTGATGAGCGCTTGGGGGTGCACACACCAGGTCGGCCCCAGGCAGGATGGGACAGACCAATCCCAATAGGTGCCGGTACATGTCATGCATCGGGGGTTTCATCCGTAGGAGTAGGCACGAACTCTGCAAGTGGTGGTGAGACTCCTTGGCGAGCACTTGCTGTATGGGGGGTGACATGAACGCTGTTTTCGAGGACGATGGGTGAGATGAATGCATCAGGCTGTCAGGCTGGCTGGTTGGCGTTGTGAGTCCAAAGCGCCTTGGTCCACAAGCACACTGAGACTTAGGCTACTTTGACAAGGGGTGTGCGTCCATTTTGAGGCTTGCCGCAAGTATTCACCAATCGTTAATTTAACATGCAGTAAGCATCACATCGCAGAGTAATATCTGCCTGTCTAACCCGTGATTACAGGGTCTTCACCCATAATTGTACGTGTAATTGGTTACATGCCCCGTAATTTACCTGCAGCACCGCGTAATATTCACCCGTAATCACTGGGTCTTTACCCGTAATTTTGCGTGTAATTCGTTACATGCGCCCGTAATTCACCTGTAGCACCGCGTAATATTCACCCGTAATCACTGAATCTTCACCCGTAATTTTGCGTGTAATTGGTTACATGCACCCATAATTCACCTCCAGCACCGCGTAAAATCCACCCGTAATCACTGGGTCTTCACCCGTAATTTTGCGTGTAATTGGTTACATGCGCCCGTAATTCACCTCCAGCACCGCGTAAAATCCACCCGTAATCACTGGGTCTTCACCCGTAATTTTGCGTGTAATTGGTTACATGCGCCCGTAATTCACCTCCAGCACCGCGTAGTATCCACCCGTAATCACTGGGTCTTCACCCGTAATTTCGCGTGTAATTGGTTACATGCGCCCGTAATTCACCTCCAGCACCGCGTAAAATCCACCCGTAATCACTGGGTCTTCACCCGTAAATGTTCACCCGTATCCTTGTGCTCAAATTACGGGACCGGTAACGTGTTACGGACCCGTAATTTCTGTCAAATTACGGGTGGATTGACCCAAAATTACGGGTAAAATGACCCCCCTTTTCCCAGAGTGTTGCCAGCCTTGCCAGCCTTGCCAGCCTTGCCAGCCTTGCCAGCCTTGCCAGCCTGCCAGCCTGCCAGCCTGCCAGCCTGCCAGCCTGCCAGCCTGCCAGCCTGCCAGCCTGCCTGTAACGACGCAAATGCCAATCTGAGCATCCCGGGTTACGCCTTTGCTGTGTTACAATGGTATCGAGACGGGACCGCACGAATTCCGAAATAAACTTCGGGTCGGCGGTTCGATTCTGGCAACCAGCAAGTCGCAAATTGGCGATTTCATGGTGTAATGGATAAACCAGCGCACTGGCGCGAGGTGGGATGGCTCCTGTGCTCGAAATAATGGCCGAGGACGTCCATTGCTAAGTGGGGGGCAATGTAACGACGCAAATGCCAATCTGAGTATCCCGGGTTACGCCTTTGCTGTGTTACACTGCCAGCCTGCCAGCCTGCCAGCCTGCCAGCCTTTCCAGCCTTGCCAGCCTGCCAGCCTGCCAGCCTGTAAGCCTGTAAGCCTTGCCATTCTTGCCAGCCTTGCCAGCTTTGCCAGCCTGCCAGCCTGCCAGCCTTGACAGCCATTCCAGCCTTTCCAGCCTGCCAGTCTGCCAGCCTTGCCAGCCTTGCCAGCCTTGCCAGCCTTGCCAGCCTTGCCAGCCTGCCAGCCTTGACAGCCATTCCAGCCTTTCCAGCCTGCCAGTCTAGGGTTTTAGGGAGTACACACGGGGGGAAAGAATGGGCTATTGCAGCGAAGCAACGCCCCAGATGAGTGCTAAAAACNGGTGCATTAGAACATGCATATTTGAAGCTTAGCCTAACGTTGTCCTT